TTGCACTTAGCTCTGTCCCTCTTCAGACTGTGAGCCCCTTCAGGGCTTTGGGTTTGTCTTAACCGAAGACTAAGAGTGCTTGGATTTATCAATACCTATTAGAAATACTCACCAAGTAAAAGAAAAAAAAAAATGCACGCCTGTTCTTTTACTCAGCTCCTTTCAGAATCCTGTGTTATCTGACGGAAGCATCAGACTCGCAGAGAGCAGTAAAGGCCCAATTTTAACAAAGGGTTATTTGGACAAGATCAAGGGGGGTGCTGCAGTGTGTGGGGTCTGGGCACAGGGGCTGAAGAGAAGGCATTTGGACTCATGGTCCGTATTCGGTCCCCTGCGTCATCAAGCCAGTCCAATAAAACACGGAGTTTCCACTGGCTGGCAAAGTAGCTGTTTGCAATCTGTCATTTTAAATGTGTGTTTTGAAATTAAAATTCAATGGAAATGGAAATGTACGTGTTTTTCCTCTTAATTCAAGACCGATCCTTTTTCCTGGGTTTTTCCTCCTAACTCCCTCGGAGGCTGGAAACATGGATGCCAACAACCTTGATCTATCACTGGGGATTCAATCTGCTCCCAAGCAAAAAGACAGACCTTCAAACGTAAAAACCACAACCACGGGCCTGAGAATTACCACCAGCGTGGAAAAGCTGAGGGTGTGTGTGCGTGCGTGTGTGTGTGTGTGTGTGTGTGTGTCTGGGAGCATTTCCTCCTGATGTTTGGGGCAGAAAAGGGTTTATTTTTCCACTCCCATTCACACCAGCTGCCATGAAGCAGCCATAAAGGCCCCTGGAGTGGCTCTGTGGCCATAGATCACGGAACCAGCCCCAGCTGCAGATGGCCCCAGCAGCTGGCCAGAGAGGTGCTGCCGCTGACCCCCTCCCACAGGCTGGGGACGCGGGGAGCAGCTCACTGCCTCCCCTGCCTCCCACCCCAGATTTATGAAGCAGGAAGCAGCCAGCCAAAAAAGCGAAAAGAGAAAGAGCCCAACTGCTCTGTTTCTTTCTTTCTTTTTTTTTCTTCCTTAAAGTCAACACACACCTAGCGACGTTCCTAGCTACTAAACCAGTGCCAGTATCTGTCACTTCCAGCTGTCAGGAGTGGACAGCCTGGGCACAGAAGACAGTGCTGTGTGCAAAGGCCATTGGGAATAGTCAGCACGTGGAGCTCCCACTCTGGGGGCAGTGGAAGGCAGGAACCCAGCCGTCACACAGACTGTGCACCCACTCTGAACAGCACTGGTGACAGGGATTTCCACCCCAAGTCACCGCGGACGGGGTATTAGGGAGATAAAATGTTAAGAAGTATTGAGTGTTGTGCCTGGATTGACATGGTCAAGAGATGCTCGTCGTGGGTGGTGGAGGGCTGTTTTTTGGGGAAAAAAAAAAGGCTCTAGAATGATCTAGAACATCCTTCCAAGCCTTTTGGGTAAGCCGTCTAATTGTCGATGTTTCCATTGTCTTTAATTGAGACCGAGAGGGTATTTTCTTATGGTCTCACACCAAAAATCAAATTAGGACTGGGACAGAACCCCAAGCTCTCATTTACATGGAAGCAAAGCAAGGCCCTAGGATTCCAAAAAGCCTGCCCAAGTTCACCCAGTAATGCTGAAGGAGAGCAGAAAGTAGAACTCAGTCTCTCAAAAAATACCCTCACTCTCTATGCAAATCCTTAATTTGAATGTAACTCCCCCAAAATAATGACATGCTCGATATGCAGCGTAAGCAACAGTCCCTGATACGGACCCGTGGGCAGGAGTCATGACTAAAGACCCCCCGAGTCTCCTGCTCACCAAGGGAACGTACAAGAAAGAGATGAACTCGCTAGGGGTATATATATGAACACGTTTAAAACGTGTGCGCACAAAGGAGTTCTGCAGAGCCCGAGGCTGGAAAATCATCACACAAATATCTGGAAGGGGGAGGCGGAAACGGAGCGCGAGGAGGAAGCAAGGCTTAGTGGAATATTCGGGTGGAGAAAATCTTCCACGGTTGCTACGCACCCACCAGCCAGAGCTGGAGTCAGCGGATGCGGGAAGCACCCCACCCACACACCTGCAGGGTGACCGCATGCTGGTCCCGGAGCCCAGTTCTCCTGGCCTGGCTCATTCCACCAACGCCCTTGGACCTGGGCTTGAGTCAGTACCTTGCAGCAACCCTCTCCCTTTAAAGAACAGGAGGCTGGAGGGCAGCGTGTTTGCTGGGTTCTCCGTGTCGGCAATGGAGGAGGACTTGCTTCACCCCAAGCAGCACCAGGAAAAAGGCTGGTAGCAGGAAGGGAAAAATAACTTAAAAAAAAAAAATCTGATCCGTGAAATACATTTACGGTAACCCGGCACCCAGAGCTATGGACTATCATACAAAGGCTGAAGACCGTGGCTTTGGGCCATGTGCATGAATTTTCAAACAGGAGGGGCTGTGGAACATGTCTCACAGCCCACATAGGGAAGTGGCTCTCTAACGTTCAGGGAGAAGGAGCAGAGCTGGGAGATGAGTGCTCTTGCCTGGAGCAGATATCATCCTTGGAGCCTGGGCACCTACACAACCCATGACCGGGTTGGGATGGACACTCTCTTCATGTGGGTCGTTGCTACAAAATGGGTTTCCCTTCACAGACACCGAGTGGGAGTCACCGGCTTCCCCGTTTCTCTTGAGCATGAGGTGATGACTTCTTACATGGAGGTCAGCTGTGTCGTCTGCGTCCTGCGCGATGCAAACTCCAGCCCATTGTTGCGGAGTAAGTGGCGAATGGGTTTTTGAAGTCGAACATTGTTGAGTGCTCTCTGTGCCTCAAGTTCAAGGAATTTTTTTTTTAACTGCTGAGCCGTGAAGATCCAAAAATAATACTCTAGATCCAAACTGAGCTATTGAAAAATAAATAACTTTGCTGCTTCAGAATGGAGTAAAATTGGTTTCTCTACTACAACACACCTGTTGTTTTCTCTAAGCCCCGCGGCACTAGTGGTTCTCGGTGGCGGCTGGACCTTGATACGATCAGAAGCTGAAAGCAGATTACACTGCGCCTCAGCCCCAGGGAGTCCGGCTTAATTCTCTGGGATACGACCTTGGCATTGGTGTGTTTGCAAGCTCCCAGCTTCGAACGGGCAGTCAGGACCCAGAGCCGCTGAAGGGAAGCTGCACCATATTCCATCCGTTTGCATCGGACACATGGACAGAACCAGACCGAGCTCTCTGCCCATGACAGCTACTGGGAAGGAAGAACCCAGCACTTACGGTCATGCAGATACAAACTGAGTTTTTCAGTAGGTGACTAAAATATTGTTTTAAACTTGTCTAAAGGAAGGAGTATATCTCAGCCATCACTGTACTCCTTAGGACACTCTACAACTAGCAGGAGCCCATTAAACATGTGTGGAAAAAACGACACATAAAGAATCACGACCCCTTACACTTCCCTCCCCTACTTATCTCCGACGTTGAGTCCAACATGAAGAGGTCAATAAGCAGCCAACAGAGCCAACAGCGAAGGATTGCTGGGGCAAGGTTATAGGCATCCCGACCTCCGTTAGAACAAAATCGTATTCTAGAGCCCAAGAGCTGGATAGTCGTGTTGGTGGAGGTTGCAATTCAGCCTCACGTCTCCTGTCACCTCGCACAAGGAAAGGAGGGCTCACCACTCCTCGAGAATCAGGCATGCATGAGGAAAGTTCACTCCATTTCCCGGCATCCGAGGGCAGGTGGCTAACTGTATTTTTACAAGGAAGGTCACAGCAACAGTGCGGGTGCCCCAGACTGACTCCAAGCTTTTCTGTAACGAAACGGGTCATCACAGGGCTGGGGAGAGCCCCCACCCGAGGACAAGGTAATAGGGACCTGAGTCAGCAGGACCAGGAGTATAAGAGAGTGCCAGCCTGGGGGTCTCAGCAGGATGCTTTGCTGCCTTGGGGCTTGGGGCTTGTCTTCCGGCAGCACCCACACCTCTTGTAGGGACTGTCATTCTCCAGGCACCAGCGTTAAGCACCTGTTTTTAACGGCAAATGACTTTGTGATCATTAACCAATATCTACTAAAGCGAAACCTTTAAACAGGTTGGAGAGAAACAGATGTTTCCGGGGCTTAACAAAAGGGAATTATGCACCGTCATACCCCAGAGCCTGCCCTGCCCCCATCACATGTGCTGCATGAAGCAGCCCAACGTCCTCGCTGGGTGCTTCGTTAGGCTCGGCGGGGACGGGCCCTGCGCTGGGTTCAATCAAATCCGACCCACGCTCGGGTGAACGTTGCAGACGCACACCCGCTTCGGCCTGTGTGCACGCACGCCCACACCGCACCTGCAGGTGACAGGCAAGTGAACGCGCCGCTGGAGAGGACCTTCGGAAAGGAACCAGACCGTTGCCGGCCTCTGGGCGCCTGGATGAGTTTAGGACCGTCCGCCGGTTCCAGGCCTCACGAGCTGCATGAATCTGGGAAGACCCTTTATCTCAAAGGTCCGTTCCCTCACCTGTGGAATTCAATGATGGAACATGAGGATATCTGAAAAAACCCATTTGTGGATGGTTGTGTTGTGAAAATACTGTTTTTAAAGCAGATGAGCCCTGTAAAGGTTTTGAAATGACCAACGATCACAAGAGCCATGAGGGACCGACGATCACAAAAGTCCGTCGGCACCCCTCATCGGACCCCGGACCCCTCTGCAGGGATCTCGGTCTGCAGGGGACCCTCTCACGCCGGCACTTGCCTTCTCGGTCCGTTACCCAGAGCCACCCTTGCCGACCTGCCGGGCCCCTGGCTGGGCGAAGGCACGCACCTTCCAAGCCACAGCGGAGACCTCTCCCTCTGCACAGGGCGACTGGACAGCCCGCTTCCCCCCACCCGAGACGGCTCCCCAGCACTCTGCCCCCCAGACACACAGCGGGAAGGCTCCTTCCCCCACCAAGGTGTGTGTGGCCTCCTCGTCTCCGTCCAGACTGATCGCGAGTCCAGACTGCCCCAGCTCGGCAGAATGCTTGGGCTCCTGGTAGAAACCTGGTTTTAGCAATACACCTGCAAGCCCCCAGATTCTCCAGGCTGGTTCTCCCGCCTGCTGCCTTTCAGCAGCTCCCGGCTCTCAGCTGAACTTGCCGCCCACTCCAGGCCTCCTCCCTCCAGCTGCCGGCAACCTGGGAAAATCCACCGGCAGAAGGCACGCTGCCGTCCATCACTTCCCTTGACCGGACTCAGCACAGCAGGTGAGCACGAGTCACCCACAGGACTCCTGCTCCAGCCGACGCCCCTCTGCCCCGACCCAGGCTCCAGGTCTGCTCCCGTGTCTGGGGGAGGGCTCAGCCCGTCCGGCCTGCCTCGCATCGGAGCCCACCTCTGGCCTGCTCGTTGCTGCCCGGCCTCATTCCGCCTCACATTCGTGCCATGCGTGAGCAGTCCAGGTGCACGCAGACGTGTGTGTACTCCTCCATCAGAGCTGCCCGCCCTCTCTCCTCATTCCTCCTGCAGAATTCTAAAGTTCTGGTTGGTTCTCATTAGCACCCCAAACATCCCCTGTTCGGGCTCAATCCTTGTCTTTCACGATGGAACACCCGAGAGGAAACAGTAGCGTTAATGCCCCACACCCTGAAAACATGTCGGCGAGAGGCCAATCCCTTTTACAGCCGCGTTCTCTGCAGGAGAGGAGGATGGTTTTCTTTATGCGAGTTTGCGACGGGCATTTGCTGTTTCACTCCCTTTTGCCTGCAGGATCACAGATAGCGGGGCATGGAAGCTCAGAGAGGGCACAGCAGGGCCAAGGTGGCCCCGAAGGCAAGGACCCAGTCAGGACAGGAGGCCCACAGGCCCTCCTGATGCCAACGGTGGCCCCAGTGGGGACAGAAGCACTTTGGAAAGCTCGGGAGACTTCGTGCTGTCTCCCTGGGAAATAGGCTTGCAAGTGACGTCAGAGCTTGAAGCCCAGTGAGAACTGCGTGGCTCCTTCTCCTCAGAAAAGCTTCACTCGGGTTACAGCCCACTCCCTGGAAACCTGCACAAGTCACCTCCCCAGCTCACTTCGGAGATAACAAATCTGAAACGCGGTGATTGTATCCAGGGGGGCATTGTTTTAGCCTGGATGGACGTCCAGAAACTGGAAGCACAGTAACACATCGCGGCCTCCACATACCTCCTTTCTTGCTCCAGGAATGGCCCAGAATCCGGGCGCCTCCCAAATTCCAGCCCAGCGTGGTCCTCCTCCCGCACGAGGGACATTTCATGTGGAAGCAGACGCGGGACCTGGGCTCCTCGGCTGACACTTACTTCCTCTCGTTCTCTGCCAGGCTCTTCTGAGACCAAGAAAGGAAGAAGGGGGATTCCATCACCTCCGAGGCGTTCCGGGGCTGCTGAGTCCTGTGACTGTACCCAGAATGCAGTTCATCGGCATTTCAGGGCAGCAGCTCTGTGGGCACGGCCCGCAGGGGGACACCCTCCACTTCAGGAGAGGCCGGGAGCCTCTGGGGATGTGGCAAAGCTGGAAGCAGGCCTGGCCCCACTGGTGTCCAGTCCGACCTCCTTTTATAGGAAAATGCGCATAAATCATCCTAATTCCCTAATGGGGGTTGCAGGCAGCACAGGCACACGGTAGTGACGCGGGGACACGTGGTGGTCCTGGAAGGCTCAGTCCAAGTGGCAGTGAAGACTGTCACTGAAGCATCCGCGACGGCCATGGCGGAAGTCGGGACAGGAACACGGCTCCCCGGCGGCCACAGCCAGAGGGGCGGCACGATCACGCTAGGCTGGGGGACACGAGTCGTGTTTGTAGTGGAACCACCTGCCAAAACAATGTCCAGAGCAGTCGAGAAGCCGCTAGAAAATGAGGCTACAGAGCCCGGGCACCGTGAATGCTAGCCATGGGGCTGGCCAGTCTGGCCTCTCTCCAGGGCTGGGGCTTTCTAGGCTTTTCCCCGAAATTCGGCACGTTTCTATAATGCCTGAACCACCATCCCTTCTTCCAGACGAGGACAGTTCAGCTAAATAAAGTGACTCCGCCAAAGCCAAACTCTTCCTCGCTGAGGCAGCCAGGGTTTGCGATGAAGCCGGAGCAAGATGAAGGTTTATGCTCCAAAGACCTTGGAGTCAACATTAATGAGGCAAGAACAGACGTTTGCGCGCAGGCACGTGGGATCCCTCCGGTGGCGGCATTTTTCATACGTGTCTCTTTTTCCGAAGAGATAAAATAGACAAAGCTCGTCCCAGTACACCAGGCCTCAGTACCGTAATTAATAAGGTGGATGGTCTCGACATATGTCTGACTATATGCCACGGGAAGAGAAGATCTGCAAACTTTCTCAAGTATCCGGGTAACATCCTTAAAAACTGGTATTTTCTTCAGCCACAAGAAAACATCACGAAACACCAAAGGAACAGAAATGCTCCATACGAGGAGAGAAACTGAAAAATGAAAACACAAAATAAGAACGTCAAACCCGTGGAAAAAACCGTCCACCAGGAAATGTAAGAAACCCGCATTTAACACCACTTCGGTCAAAGAGTTCATCAAGACCTCAGTACGGAAAGGCAAGCCGTCTTGCCACGCGGACAACAAAAGCAGGAAGGGCCAGAATGCAGAGCATTCAGAGGGAACTGCTATCCACAGGTGTGTGTCAACGAGCAAGGGTGTGGAAACGCCTTATGTGACTACGATACTCAGGGCATTAGAAAAGAAAATTAGAAAACAACTCAGGAAAGTGGAATAAGAGAGTTTAAAAGATGAGAGCAGAACGTCTTTACTTAGGGACAGAAAGCAGTAAAACGAATTGATAAATACCCGAGTTGGTTTTTACACATTAAAGATCAACGATAACAGTAAAAATGATTATTAGCCGGAGGAACGGCAGAATGAGGGGAGAGTTGAAGGAGACAGGAGCGTGCTGGGCTGGGCGTCAGGCAGCTGCTGGAGGAGCCCACGCGCTCCCGCCGACTGCACGTGCTGCTCTGACCTTCTGCGTAGACCCAGGAACACAGACCGGAGTCAGGGAATGACCCCCCTCCCCGGGAAGGAGCACGAGGCCCACTTGTTTTTAACGGGGAATTTCTAACAAATCCTCGAGAAAAGGAATATTAAGTGTCTCCCATCAGAGGGGGGGGGGGGTATTCTGGAAAAGCAAAAATGCCAGACGGAGAAGTGAACCCTTTGTTAGAGTTAGGGCAGCACCTGCCTCATTTTCTCCGCCCCGGGGATGGGCACACGAAGCAAACCGCCTCCCAGGTGAGGCCACACTGAGGGTGAGGGAGGTGAGTGACACACCAGGGGCTGCACTCAGGGGGACCAGCCGAGCGGGGCCCAGAGCGGCCACTCCACTGTGCCTCTGGGGCTCCTTCTCTTTCTACCGTGAGGACACTGAGAAGGAGCACATCTCCTGTCCTTAAAAACACACAGAGAGCATCCCAGAAGGACTTGTAGGACTAGGACGAAGGCTGATTTCTCCTTCAGCTTGAAAGGGTGGTCCACCAGGATGCAGGGGAGGGGCAGGGGTGTGGTGCAGGTGCAAGATGAGGAGATACCTGTCTGCCTCCAGTGTCCTGAGTCTGGGCTTCCCCACCCCCACCCCCCACGCAGGCCTCTGCTGCTGGCACCGATGACCCCAAAGGTCTGGTCTCAAGCATGGTGGAGGGGAAAGCAGGGCCTGCCTGGCTGCCCCAAATACTAGCCTGTCCTTTTCAAAACTGACCACAAGCTTCCTCTTGATTTGTTGTCCTTTCTTATTTTGGTTTATCTCCGGGGTGGGGGACAGTCTTTTGAAAGAAGTTGGGAAGAAGCTGGGTGGGGACAGCGTGGAAGGGCAGAGGGCAGACACGAAAATCCACTACTAACACGCAAAACAAAAACACCAATAAATAAATAAATAAATAAATAAATAAATAAATAAATAAATAAATAAATAAATAAGTAAGTAAGTAAGTAAGTAAGTAAATGAGTAAATGAGTAAATAAAGAGAGACCAAGAGGCTCACGCCACCCCCGAAACTGGAGAAATGAAGTCCTCGCGCGCCACCTGCTGGCCGTCTCTCATCACTGCACGCTGGCAGGCAGCTCATGGCGTTACCCACAGCTCTTAGTAACCTCAACTCCCCAGCAAACCTCACAGATCTCAGGCTCCTCCCCTCCAGTCCAGTTGCCACAGAGTCTTTCTAAAGCCTGGGACTTGAAAAAAATAAAATAAAATTTATATGTTAAAAAATAAAAATAATAAAAATAAAGCCTATGACTTAACTGTCATTTCCCAATTTAAAACCCTCTAATGGTTCCCATTTTATATGGGAACACCTCCCACCAGGAGGGCATCAAAAACAGACCCTCACCTCTGCTCCGTTCCCAGCATGGAACCACCCGCCTCTCTCCAGGTTCGGTTCAAAGCTGCCTCCCTTGCTCCCTGCCTCTCCCAGCTTGGCGCGACTTTCTCCAGCTCCTTGACTGGTACGTGCTTCTTCCTGCCCCCGTCCCTCTAATTTACAAGGTACGAGTAGGACTGTCTGATTTCTCCCTTAGGTGAAGGAGCGCCCTACGTGAACCACCAGAGGCTTCTAACCAGTGTCTGCTGAGTTCGTATCAGTCCACTCAGTATTTGCAAAGAAAATGCTGGTCCTTGTACCAGCGTCCAGTTCTGCTCCCCCTCGACTAAGAATGGAGAGGGTGTCAAGCACTGGCTATCTTTTACAGTAGAGTGGTGATGAGGTTCCTGTGGGCTGCCCCTGCCTTAAGGTTCTGCCCTGTGGACGTAGGAGAGCTCTTCTGAACCTTGGTGAGCACAGCTGCCCCAGGAGAACCACTGAGGCAGCACGAGGCTCTGCCACCCGTCCCCAAGAGCCTAAGAATGTCCCTGGAATTATGGCCTCCCTTCTCCCTTCCTTTCCTGGAGCAGAGCCCTGTCCTCCCCGCTGCCAGGGTTCCCTCGCCCACCAGTCCTTCCTCCTATTTGCCCACCAAATACTCTCGTCTCTGGGCAACTAGTCGAGCCTTGAAACAAACCAGTGCTTTTGCACGGGAAAAACTTCAGATGGGCCCCAAGCATAAATCTGGTGCTAAGTCTCTTCTGCAGACCCCAGAGCCCCTTCTGAGGGCGAGCGCCTAACCACCGACAGGTCACCTGTCCACCTGACGCTTGACGGCATCGAGGACTCCATGCATCTAAGCTCACCGGCTTCCTGCTCCCCTCAACCCTCTCCATCTCCTGAGTTCCCTGGTTCAGGCAGAGAGGCACCGCCACGCTCAGGCACCCAGAGACTCGGGAGTCGCCACCAGCAGCTACCCTCGCTTATTCACTACGTCCTGGTGATCCAACTTTTAGACGTACCCGTAAAGACCGCACGTCTCCCACGGACCACACCCCTCATTTCGGGCCCTGCATCGGCGCTGAGCCCTTCTC